TTTGATGGCCCATGGTTGGGTCACTATCAAGATAAATTAATCCTAATTTAGAGAGACCATGTACTCTATCCAGCACAGTGATGCTCATAGTCAGTTAACTGCAGTAGGAATTATTCTTCGATCAGCAACAAACAGCCTAAAAACTACTTAAGTAGTATTTCATGGGAATTCAACCCTGAGGACACAAATTATGTTTTCATTTTTTCAGGGCCTAATTTTCTATATCTCGAGACACAAATGGTGCTCTTTATTAGGAAAACAGCTAAACTACTGTCTCTACAATTTTACATAGCAGTGTGGAACAAGTGAGGAATCATGAGAAAGGAACCCCATTTCTCCCTTGCTGCCCTTCTCCTGCTCAGTGTTTTCTCTACTCGGTCATTGTCTCCGCCTCTCTAACTGGTCTCTATTGCTTCCCTTCCCCTCACGCTTTCTGCCACCTCCTTCTCCTCATTCTGGTAGCCATCACTGATGTTCCATGCCAAACCTTGACACAGAGGTCTTGGTGTCCATTGCAGTCACTATGGCAACTCAAATGGTCTCAGACTCTGACAGTTCACACACCCTTATGGCTGTACATGTGCACGATGTCATCATTAAGTTTACTGGAGGGGGTTGTTGCCCCAAACAGAATTGCTTTTTACAGAGTTGGATTTTTCAGCAAACTTGGGGATTCTTCTGGGTTTGCAAGATCCTCACTGGCCATTGAGGGCCAGCAGAATTAGATTTGGTTATGATGAAAATGCAGAGGAGGCCAAATTACTGGGGAGGAGTCATGGCTTTGTGGTACTGGGTTGGAGGAATTTTAGGAAGCAGGGCTTGCAAAGCCTTCTTTCTGAAACCTTTAAGGTGTTACTGCACGTCAGCATAAAAGCTACAGATGGAAACGAACTGGCTCACACAGTAAAGTTCATCACAAATTTTGGCTGGTTTGTGGTTTGCGATGCAATGTTTGTGGAAAGGTGCCCAGCATGAACATTTCACGAACTTTGGTGCTGTTTCCGGTGGTTTGGGAATGGATACATTTCCAGACAGACTGTCTCCAATCAATTAAACTGTTCACAAAACTCCAAGGCAACAGGGTGGTGGTGGAAGTCCCCAGCTTTGGAAACACCAAGGAGCCCTCCAAAGCTTAACAGACACTGCTGGCTGCCAAAAACAGAGTTCCCATTCTGCTCTGTGGGATCAGCATGCGATATATATGCTCAGCTCAGCTCTAAACCCTCTGTCAGCTGTTGGCAGTTACACAGAGAGGCAGGGAACTTGTTAAAAGCAGACTAGCAGAGCACAATCCCTTCTGATGATAAACTCCTCTCTCCCACTGGGGTTTGGGGGTGTTAGATGGACTCAGGGCTCTGAGCCACTCCGTCTCTCTGCTTGCACTGAGCAGAGGGACATAGCTAGTGGGTTCCACAGCTGAGGACCCACATTTTGATTGTGAACTCCTCTCCCCTGCTAAGGTTTAGATGTGTTAGGTAGAGCCACCCTGTCTCTCTGCTCATGCCGCACGGAGGAGGAGGAGGAGGAGGAGAGTCAGCTGGAGGTCCAGGATGAGTTTGGTGTCTCTAGTTTGCACATGATCTGTTCTATACAGCCCTGAACCTGTGCTTGTCATTTTCCCAGAAAGCACTTTTCTGGGGGCACTTACTTTGGGGGGGGGGCATAATTTGGACCCTGTAAATCCTATCACCAAACTTGGAGGCCAGGCAGAGGAGAGTCAGCTGGAGATCCCATGCAAGTTTGGTGTCTCTAGCACGTGGGCAGGGGGCATCCTACTGAATCACAAATCTAATGAACTGAACCAGTTCATTTAGCACCAAAAAGTCTGTGACAGTCTGTTGTTTCCGAATCGGGCACACCATGAACTGAACCGTTTTTTCCCAGTTCATGCCCATCCCTAATAACACCCTAGAATCTGGGTAAACTCTCACATATTATCTGGTGCATCCTCTTCATAACCTTATCCATAAGCTTAAAAACAAGAGGTATTTATCTATTTAAAGCATATCCAGCTACATCTTTCTCCCAGCCAGGGTGTCTGTCTGTCTGTCTTTCTCTCTCCCCGGGTATTTTAGCTACAGAACTCTGTTTTAAGCCAAGCACAAAACTCAGGTCCATTCTGAATCTGGCATTCACTCTACATTTTCTTAGCTCTCGACCTGGTTCCCCCTTGCCTCGGAATATCTGTTTTCATTCAGTTTGGTATGAAGATTTTACTGTGTCAGTACTTGCCTCAGTGACTGGGTCATTAGCTGCCTGAGCCAAGTAATTCACGGCAAGGTGATAAATACAGAGGGGGAAATAGGGGCGGGGGGGGGGAAATGACAGAGATCAATGAAGCCCTTTCAAGTTGTCTGCTTATTGTTCCCTTCGAATCAGAAGCAGAGGAAGGAAAAGGTGCCGCTCAAAACCACTTTCAATTACCCTGGGGCAACACCATACTGACTGCGAGGTCACCCCTGAGCAGTCATAAAGCTATGCAGAAGGTACCATGAAACTCGATGAACAAAGAAAGTGAAAGCGCCATGCAGTACAGAGGGAGATTAACCTCCCGATGTGGCTGTGGAATAACTGCGAGAAAGCAGATGCGTGCAGAATCAGCCTTTAGCTATCTCAAAAGCCTTTTAAAGCAGTTCTTTAAGCCTGGCTAGAGAGAAGGTCAGCAAAGTAGGAGCTTTTGTTTCCTCCTCTGTGAGGCTGTTCTAGAAGAGCTAAGCAGCAGTGGGGAAGGCCCCGGTCTAGGAAGCTGTTGACTGACGAACCTTGGCAAGAGAGGGCATGGCAAGGAATGGGAATCTTTAACAGGGTGTGTGAAATTGAAAAAGTATGTATGCCAGCACCCTTCCCCAGTCTCCTCATATTCGTTTTATCCAGAGCCTCTGTCCCACTCCCCCCCCCCCACTTCCCCTCAGGCCAGAGGAATATGTCAGAGAGCCCAGATCAGTGTAGAGGGAGTAGCACTGGAAATGCTGGTGGGATAGCAAGTGTGTGGGTGTGTTTGAAAGCCGCTTCAAAATTCCTACACTGAAAGTATTTCTGCTTGCAAATCATCACGCATGCACTTGTATGTACTTGTGCTGGGAAGCAAGGATTGGGAAGGATTTAATACTCTTTGGAGGGGCCCCCTCAGGGTGTCTTCTCTCTGGCTCAGGCAATACTGTCACTCACCTTATGGTTCAAGCTCAGATCTTCTTGCTGGCGCTTGGTAGTCTGTAAAGGGTAGTTTTGTATTGCTCTAACCCAGGAGTTGATGGACTCAAAGCAACCCATCTGAGAGACTCCAGGTCCAGTTCACTGGCGCTTCCCAGCTGCTTCTGCCATCACTGTCTCCTGCTTTTCATTCCCAGCCTTTGGCTGGCTGAGAAAGTGAAGTCCAACAAGTGGCTTCAGAGCACCTTTCTAGTATTTTCTGGATCTCAAAAGACTGAGTCTGACTGTGTCTCAACCTTCACTTTTCTTCATTGACAGCTTCCTGGCGTTTTAGGCATTAACGCACCAGGTGCTGACCTGCGCTTGTGGGGCCGAATACTTTCTAATGTGTCTCAAGCAGTGCAACAGGTAAGTGTCTGGGGAGCTGGAGGGCACAACTGAAGCTCAAACTTCATTATTGTTCAGAGCTCTGTGATCCTGCTGAAATTTTTTTACCCAAAGTAGTCTGGGGCAGGTTGTGTCTATGTCTAAAGGCAGAGAAGGCAGAGGATAAAGGCATGTTTATGTATAAAGGCAGAGAGGCCTATTAACTCTTTCTTCTCCTATTATTTTCAGCTCAGAATAGCCCCCCTGCAAATCTATCACCCTGCAGGTGAAAAAGCAGCCTGGGGAGACTGATTCTGAATGGCAACTGCCCCTGCTACATGGGGGGGATAAACACGGGCAAAGTGCGGCTTTTTAAAGCCGCACCAAAAGAGACACGTGGCAGCGGGGTCACATAGATCCCCTGAGCCACTGCGCACTTCCTCCCCAGCACGATCAGATGCCGGGGGAAGGGAAGCGAGGCAGCCGAAATGCGCATGTGTGAGCATGCGCAGTTCGGCCGGGAGCCGGGATTGCTACAAACGAAGAGCGCACCAGCGATCCCACGGCCGCGCTTGATGCGGCGTCCCAGGTAAGTCCTCCTCTGGGGGTGGTTCTTTTTTACAGCGCGTTATTGACCTGAAGGGACGGATCGGGGACGGGTACGAGCCGATTCCCAGATGTTGCGGTGTGCTCGCTCCCGTTTGCCGCGCCCCGATCCGTCCCTCTCCCGGGCCAAAATCTCCCGTGTGACCGGGGCCAAATGAATTGTAAAAGAGATAAGCAGCATCTTTCCATTGCCCTGTCCAGAGATACAGCCAGGTCAGGACTGTTTTAAGCTTTAAAAACACAGAGGAAAGAGTAAGGGAACTCTGCAGTGTAGTCTGTGATCCTCTTGTGAATGATCGGCAGTTTTTTCTATGGTTGCCAGCTCTGGGTTGAGAAATACCTGGAGGTTTTTGGGGTGGAGCCTGGGGAGGGTGGGGCTGGGGAGAGGAAGGATATCAGTGGGGTAAAATGCCACAGAGTCCACCCACCAAAGTTGCCATTTTCTCCAGGGGAACTGATCTCTGTAACCTGGAGATCAGTTGTAATACTGGGATGTCTCCAGCCACCACCAGGAGACTGGCAACCCTAGTCCTTTTCCTATACAAATTTACCCAGAAATAAATCTCACTAAATTGAATGTATACCATTGCAGTTTCTTTGTCTTGCAGAGGTGCTGCTATTTATTTTAGTTTACTTTTTTAAACTTTTCAATTTGTCATGATTATAATAAACTGCAAAACATATAACAGCCATCACAAACACATTAATAAAACCATGCATTGTCTCCTCACTGAATTATTTTCTAGAGGGACATTTTCACCAGCGCCCCTTTGGAAGGCTTGGAATGATGGCACCAACCTCACCTCCAGGAGATGGTGTATTCCATCAACCAGAGGCAGCAGCTGGAAAATCCCTCATGCCAATCCCAATAAATCTGACCACAGCAACCACTTGTTTCCACAGGAGAACACAATTTGTTGATCTCAGTGCACAAGCACCTGAAGGAGGCAGTCCTTCAGGTACTCAGAGCCTGAGCTGTTTAGGGATTTAAAGATTAAGAACAGCACCCTGAATTGGGCCTGAAAACAAATTGGAAGCCTGTGTAGCTAGAGTAGCCCTGGCTCATCTTGGGTCCCACTAAAGACCCGTGTTTTGGAATAATTGAATTTTCAAAATCATCTTCAAGGCCAGCAACACATAGAATGAAACACAGTGATCTAATGTCACCAAGGCATTGTGAACTAAGGAAAATGTGTTTTGCCACAGCTGGCTGATGGAGGTGTCAGGGCAAATTCAGACACCTGAAGGATCTCTCCTTATATATAATTCTCTTTTGGTGTGAACGTTCCACATGCTTCCACAGCATTTGGCTCGCTCAGCTACCACTTGGAAGGTCTGCCAATCCCCTGGCTGCATTGCCTCGCTGCGTTGCCTCAGTCCCGCCCACAGAGCCGGCGCCCAATGTCTCAGCCTCAGTCTAGAGGGAGCCGGCGAAGGGGATGGATGATCCACCAGGCGGAGGCTTAGGAGACAGCCCGGTTTGGTACAGGAAAGCTCCCCGCTGATTATGAGCGACGGGGATTCCCTTTTCTCCTCCGTGCTTTCAGCCGCCACTCAAGAGTACTTGCATGCCATTGGCCAGGTGCTGGGTCTGCTCCTGTTCCCCGCCCATTTTCACTTCAGCCCCTGTTCCCTGTCAGATTTACTGGCAGACAGCTCTTTCCACACCTATGTTGGCCTTTGGGAGAAAACTTATTGGGGCCAGTCCTGATAGGGTTGCCAACTCCAGGTGGGAAATTCCTGGAAATTTGAGGGATGGAGCCTGGAGAGGGTGAAGCTTGAGGAGGGCTGGGACCTCAGACAGGTACAATGCCATAGACTCCACCCTCCAAACCAGCCATTTCCTCCCAGGGAACCACTGTTGCCAATCTCCAGGTGAGGGCTGGAGATCACTCAAAATTACAACTGCTCTTCAGGTAGCAGAGATCAGTTCCTCTGGAGAAAATGGTGGACTCTGTGTCATTATACCCTGCTGAGGTCGCCACAGCAAATTGACACTGAGTGCCCAAAGCTGGGGCACTCTCCCAGAGCCTCTTTCTAGAGCTCATTGAATTTATTTCCACAATGGGCCTTATTCCTAGTCTCTCCTTATACATAATTCTGTTTTGGGGTGGCAAGATTCCATGCACTCCCTCAGCCATTGGCCCGTCAGCCGCCACTCAAGAGTACTTGTGTGTCATTGGCTGGGTGCTGGGTCTGCTCCCCTTCCCCGCCCACTCGCCCTTCAGCCACTCTGCCCTGTCAGAATTACTTGCAAACAGCTTTCTCTCTTGATGAAGATGCTTCTCCTGCTTGCCTTCTGTGTGGGACTTAACTTTTCCCTCAGTGTCTGTTGGTAGGTGTAATTAAATGGCAGTTAGCTGTGTTTGTAAAATGGCTCCCGTCTGTGTGGTTGTTTGTTTAAAATGTTCCCCCATAAGGTTTAATTGAGCTGTAGTTCCAGAGAGGGGCCTGCAGGGGTATCACTCACTGTGTTGAATGGGGCTTCCTCATCTGCTGGCCTACAGTTCCCAGCTGCCCCAAGGCCAAAAAGTGTGGGAAAAGAGACTGTCCCAAGGGGCAGGGCAGCATCAATATAGTCTCCAGCCCGTTCAGGGAGGAGGCTGTCTTCGTCCTACGGGAGGTTAGGAAATGCTCCTGCTGCCTGTAGTGATGAGACTGTCGAGGCCACAAGCCACAGACGTGGGGGAACCCTGGGAGGCAGCAGAGATTCAGCCACTCCACAGTCGGCTGGACTGGGGAATGAATGGAAGTTTCCCTGCTCACTTAGGTTGAAGCGGAGCCAGAGGCCGGTCCAAGGAGAGATCCTATCCTGAGCCCACAACCTCCAGAGGTAGTGTGCTCCATAATTGTGTAAATAGTTAAATAAATTCTTTTATTTGGGCTACTAATCTGTGTTGTGCTCTGGCCACATAGTCTCCCCCACTCTGCACAATAACAAAGGGAGGGGGTAGCCCAAGGAAGCAAGGAAAGGCTAAGACCCTAGGGTTGCCAACTTTCCAGGGATCCCCCAAAAATTGGGGATTACATCTCCAAATAGGGAGATTCGGCCAGAGGGGTCTCACTGTCCCTCTAAAAAGGCAGTGGCAATTTAGTGAGTGGTGGCAGTGAACTTAAGGAGTAAGATACGCCCACGGGAGCTGAAGAGTGAGGGGAAAATAAAGGTAGGTTGAGGAGTTTCTGTGAAGGAGATAGGGTTGCCAACTCCAGGTGGGAAATTCCTGGAAATTCCTGGATATTTGAGGGGTGGAACCTGGAGAGGGTGAGGTTTGAGGAGGGGTGGGACCTCAGACAGGTACGATGTCATAGACTCCACCCTCCAGTGAGAGCCAGTTTGGTGTAGTGGTTAAGTGTGTGGACTCTAATCTGGGAGAACCAGGTAGTGAAGGGCGGGGTATAAATCCAATCTCTTCGTCTTCTCCCAACCAGCCATTCCCTCCTGGGGAACCATTGTTGCCAACCTCCAGGTGAGGGGTGGAGATCACTCAGAATTACAACTGATCTCCAGGAGGGAGGGCAGAAGTCAGCTGTAGTCAGAGGGGCAGATAACGGCAGGTTGATAGTTAGCTGGGAAGGGGATGGGGTTGCCAACTCCAGGCTGGGAAATTCCTGGGGATTTCAGTGGTGGAGCCTGGAGAAGGTGGGGTTTGAGGAGGTCACCACAGCAAATTGATGCTGAGTGCCCAAGGCCTTGGCACGCTCCCTGAGCCTCTTTCTAGAGCTCGTTGTATTTATTTTCACAACGGGCCTTATTCCTAGTAGTACATAAAGCAAATCACTCTCAATCTATGAACCTGTTCCTTCAGTGGGAAGGTAACTCCATCAACAACAGGTGAAACATCTGGTCCTGGTTCAACATTCCCCTGCACAGGGTGGGAATTAGTGGCACTTACTGCAAGTGGGTGGCCCAAGCCCTGAATGGGATGGGTGCTAGTTGGAGCCTGCTATTCTTCTTCTTCTCCCTCCTCCATAATGGGAGATGGCTTATGGGTAGTTGGGGCTTCCCAGCCCAAGGCCCAGGCAAGGTACCCCATTGGCTAAGACTGCCCCTGAAACTCACCAAGTGACTTTAGGCCAGTCATTTTCTCTCTGACTAACCAGCCTCACAGGATTGTTTCCCCAATTAAATAGAGGAAGGAAGATCAATGTGTAATCCTTATAACATATATATTATTAAAAACTTGTGACCTATTTTCACATGCATAGTGGACCCTGCCCTGGAAATACTGCCCTCTAAAAGGAGGGGATTTCTATAGAGAGGCTGAGTGAGCGGTTGCCTGGCGACAGGAAAAGAAGGGGGTGGACTCTTAATGAAAAGCACTTCTCCTGAGGAAGTGACTATTTCTAAATTTCTGAAGAAGAAAAAAGTCTGTGGAGATGGAGAAAAGCAGTTGACAGAAGTGTCGCTGTCTTCTGATGTGACCATTCGATCCTGAGTGTTTGTAGGATTTCTGCTGTGACTGTGCAGAAAAGTGGCTTCTCAGAGCTTGTGTAGAAGAGAGACCTTGCCAAGTGTGTGATACAATCTATCTGCAGTTTGTGAATCAAGAGCCCAGAGACTAAAGAGACTTCCTTCTTTTTTCATCCTGACTTTGGAATTGCTCAGTAGAATTTTAGGAAGGTAGCCATGATGGTCTACAATCTAGAAGAACTAGATTGGAGTCCAGTAGCTACCAGTTCTGAGCTCATTGTTTTCGCCCCTTGAAATAAAAGCTATTTGTTTAAGTGTTGTTCAGGTTTTGAATGAGGCATCCACAATTCTCTGACCACTAAACTGGGCCTTTTAAGGATAAGAGGGTTTACACATTCTGCTCTGAGCTCCTTGGGAGAAGGGTGGGACAGAATTGAAAAAAAATGTTTTAAAAAAGCTATAGAAATGAAATAAATTTAGAGAGCCGGAGAAAATAAGGGCAAGATGCATTCTTTTGAACATAGGCTTGCCAAGTCCCCCCGGGGGGCGGGAAACCCCCGCCCCAGAGGCCCATTCCCCGCCGCCGGCGGATCGGGCCCTGGGGGAACCCCACCCCGGCGTGCGCATCACCAGGAAGTGACGTTATGAGACCAGGCACGCTGGGGGCGGGGCCACAGTCATCCAAGGGAAAACTCTAGGGTTTTCCCTCGGATGGTCGTGGCCCCGCCCCCAGCATGCCCAGTGTCATAACGTCACTTCCTGGTGATGTGTGTGTGGTGTGCGCGCGCAAAGCGCGTGCGAGCACGCTCCAGCCGCAGACCGGGAATCCCCCGGTAAGGAGATTTTTCAACTTGGCAACCCTATTTGCACATCAAAAGCCTGTGAGAGGTAAGGTTTCCTTTTATTGATATTTTCAGCAAGAGATTCTGCTCTGAGAGAACAGTATGGTGTAATGGTTAGCCTCTAACCATCGGACTAGGATCTGAGAGATCCAGCTTTGAATCCCTAGTCTGCTTGCTGGGTGACCTTGGGCCAGTCACAGCCTCACAACATAACTGACTTCACAGTGTGGTTGCTATGAGGATAAAATGGAAAAGGATAGAATGATGGAAATTGCTTTGGGTCCCCACTGGGAAGAAAGGTGGGGCTATAAATGAAATAAATACACTCCACATAGGTGTATCCTTCTGCCTCTAGTACAACTGCTCATAAAGATGCTTTGTTTCACTACAGCTAATACGTAGGTCAAGTGTTCAGGATCTTTTGTCTGTTCTGCGACCACTTCTGCAAAATGGAGAGCCAGAATCCTTATGGCAGCTGATGAGTGTTTTATCTGATCTTCTCTGTGGCTACCCCGAGGGAGGCGGCTCCAGAATAATCTCTCTCAACTGGTACGAAGATAATAATTACAAGGCCTTCCTTGGCGTTGACTCTACAAAGAAGAAATCTTATATTTATGATAACACAACCAGTAAGTATTTCCTTAGTATGTGACTCTGCATTAGATCTACGGGATTGGATAAAGATTGATCAGGATGATATTTACATAATTAGTTATGTTAGGTAAATTGCTTAAACAATTACTGTTTCATCTGTGTCATGTCATAAGGTAAGCTGTAGCCACTACAGCAGTGCAAAGTTACCAAAGCTGTAATTTAAATTTGGCTAGCTGGTTTCCTCTGTTGTAGTATCGTGGCTGTGATGATGACAAGCACCAGATGTCTCAAAGAGAGCTACAGGGAGACTCAAACTAAGCCAGTGATGGATACTCTGTCCGTTATGGAAATAACTTTGTAAATGTCATTATTGATGAAGTAATTTTATTGACTCAAGAAAAGTTTTTTAAGGCCCTGGTCACACGAGAGGATTTGGGCCAGGAGAGGGACGGATCATGGGCGGAGCAAACGGGCGCTATCCCACCGCAACATCTGGGAAGCGTTGCGCGCTCGTCCCCGATCCGGCCCTTCCGACAATAACCCGCAGCAAAAAAGAACCACCTACCGAGGTGGTTCTTTCTGAAAGGCCACATTAAATTAAATGCTGTTGCTTTTAGTTTTACTCAGGACCACTTCACACCTTAGTGCAATGACTGGTGTTCCCTTTCCCTCTGTTATTGTTTGTCATACATTCACTTGTTTTTCCATGTAGCATTGTACATGAAAATGTCTTTCCAATATTCTGAGGAAAGTGGTTGACCTAGAATGAACACCTAGGGAGCAAATCCCAAGCAGGTCTACTCAGAAGTAAGTCCTTTGTTATTCAGTGGGGCTTACTTCCAGGAATGTGTAGCCATAAGGACATGACTTCTCTTCAACATTTGAAATGGCCTTAAGTGGCATCGTACTCTTATGGTATGACAGGATAAACAGAATGATTGTCTGTTCTAACATTTGGTACAACTTGAGGAAATACCTAAAACCCAAGATGTATTTCTTCATCATTTGATAACAATATAACAATATGACAATAATTTTTGTTTGAACTTTTTTTCTTCCTGCTCAGTTGCCTTGGAAACTCTGCTTAGATAGATTTTCCATACAGATCTGGTAGTTTAGGCAGCTATAGGTTAACTGTATCTTATGCATGCCATGATCTGAGCCTATTTTCATTTTTCCTTTTGCATTTGGCATATGTTCACATCTTTAAACCTAGACATCTAATTGTCCAGCCAGCATGGTGCAGTGGTTAAGAGCAACGGACTCTAATCTGGAGAACCTGGTTGGATTCCCCACTCCTCCATATAACCTATAGGTGACCTTGGGGCAGTTACAGTTCTCTCAGAACTCTCTCAGCTCCACTAGCCTCACAAGGTGACTGTTGTGGGGAGAAGAAGAGAAGGTGACTGGAAGCTGCTCTGAGACTCCTTATGGTAGAGAAAAGTGGGGTATAAAAACCAACTCTTCTTCTTCTTTTGGATTGTTCCATCCCATCCTAAGAACTCCTCAGAGAACTGCCAACAAGATTGGCCCTATCATGAGGTAGACCATAGTGAAAGGGCTTAGGTACCACAACTTGAGTACCAATAAAGAACAGAAAACAAATGGTCAGTTACTTTGTTATATAATTTAGATTGTTTGTCCTAGTCTAGTGGTGCTCACTCTTTGGCTCACAAAGAGACATATTTGCAATTACTATAAACCGAAAGACTACTGTATGTTCTGGGCACCATCCCACCAAACACACACATCACGTGTTGCTGTATAGGTAAATAGAAAAGTGAGTGCTTGAGGCAAGAGCTGCTATGGAATGGGAGTATAATACTGCCTCTGGGTTGCCATCTTTTTTTTTCTGCCAAGAATTCTGAACCTTTACATTTTCTCTAATGCTGTCAAAAAACCTACACAACACCAGCTTCTGTAAACCATCTTCTTGTGACTGCTGTCTCCTCAGAAAAAAAGGATTTGGATTTTTTTTCAGGACCTACAGACTTTTGCTAAATGGGGTGGGGGACAGAATCAAGCTGTAGTCTTAAACATATTTACTTGCATCATAAATCTTAGGAATGATAAGCATTACTTACTACTGAAATACTTACTCCAGTGGCAGCAAAAACACAAAAGACCACTATTTGGATAACAAAGAAGTGGAGAAGAGAGCAGTCTTAAGCAGATCTACTCAGAATCCCACTAAGTTCTGTTCAGTGAGTCTTAGTCCAAGAAAAGTGTTCTTAGGGTATTTTGAAGAGGCAAGTTCTTTCCTAAACAGAAATATTTGTATATTTCAAATTTATACACATTTTACATATCTATACATATTATATGTATTTCACAAAAACATGTGTGTGGAGAAATGTCCTCCACTCTAGAATTTCAGTCATTCTGACTACACTCTGTGTGTGCTCAGGAACCCAAAGGCAAACTCAAAGCTGTCGGAAAGGAGGGGGTTGTGGAAGGAGCCATCAAGCTCCAAGCACAAAGCATTCATGCTCTTAGTTATCTTAATGGCTCCGGCCAAAGCAAGACAATGGTTTATCACCCTGCTAGAAGGTGATACCCAGAGACAGAGAGGGAAACAGCCAAATTGCTAGAATGTATTTTCTTCAGGGGTCATTTCGTAGAAAAAGAGCTAGGGGGACTCATTAGCATAACTCATTAGCATATGCCACACCCCCTGACATCAGGGGCTTGGTGGTGGACCTGCAAGGCCAGCGGGAGTACGAGGAAGCCCCGCCAAGGCCCTCCCTGGCCCCAGGCAGGCAGGGGTGGGGAGAGGCGGGGAGAAAGCAACTTACCCTCCCTCTTCTCCTGCCTCCTCCTGGCTGAATGAGGGCTGGAAGCAGGGTGGCTGGAAGCATGGGGCGGGGCTTCATCATGTGCACCTCACCCGGGGGAACTGCGTACTTCTTTCCCCTGGTTCCCCCGGCGTCCCCCCCCCCCCAAAAAAAATGACCTCTGATTTTCTTCCTTGTGGAACGGGAGTATGAATGACTGGGGTGTGTGTGTGTGTGGACTATGCCCAGGGCAGAATATAACTTCTTAAGACAAAGAGAAGAAACTCTCTTATTCTTGCATCTTGCTCTTGATTTGGAACTATACGCTATGAAGGACTAAGGTTTATCTAGTGATTTCATCTTGTCCACATGGCCAAGGACAATAGGGAGAAGACACCCAATCAAGAAAACTAAAGTAATTGTGAATTTTAAAGTACTGCAATTTCAAGTAATACTAGCCAGTGCTATTTAAACATTGTTTAGGATAAGTTCCATGTGTAGGGATAAACATTGTTTAGGATAAGTTCCATGTCTAGGGAAAGGGGCTGTGTTTTTGTCAAACCAGGCCTCATTTGCCATGGTTCTTTAGTTTTTTTTGGTTCTGTATGTCTCTTATCCTGTTTTCTTCTGGTTGGGAGGGGAGTCTGGGAGTGTGTGTGTGTGTAGCTGCTTTGCTGGAAGTTGTGCTAGCTTGTAACTGTGTTTATGTGGGGCCTCTCATCTTTGGGAAGAATGCGTGTTTGACCTTGGACACCAGATACTGCTAGATACTAAGCTTGCAGGTCCTGGGGGAGGGTTAATGGTGCCCAGTAGATTTTGGCGGGCTGGATTTCTTGATGTGATTGGACTAGTTATTGGGAGGGTGGGCTGTTTGAATCATGTATAATGCCAGAACTGGTGCCAAGGGAGTCAGTTCTGACATGGATCATCTTAGCTTGAAACATCTTTATCTCTCAATAAACAAATCACTGCCAAGAGAGTGTGGTTCGAAGTAAGTTTGATCAAGAGTCTGACAGTTTTCACCTTTTCTTTGTAGCATTGCTCAGTCTGAGCAGACTATTTGTTTTTTTATTCATGTATTAAACTTCCTTATATATTGAATGCTCTCAGCCTGATGTCTGATAACATACCTATTTGGTCTTGCTATCTGCAGTGTGGTAATGGAGAGGGACAGTGGATAAAAATCAGAAACCATATGATGCTATTCTTGTAATGATGGGGTTAGCTGCATGGAGACAGCATTAACTCAGCCTCTTAATTGCTCAGCCTCTTAATTTCCCAGAAGTTGGTATAGCTGCAGTTTTATATGGACTAAATGGAGAGAGCTGAATCTGTAGAATATTATGAACAAAGGTTATTATGGACAAAAGTTATATGGGCCCCGGTCAGATGTGCCGGAAAATGCGTGGGGGGGGAGTGCGGCTATTTGCGCCATCGCATTCTGATGCACCATTATGCGTTCAGACGCGACGGCGGCTTCCCCGTGGCAAAGAGGACGACGGGGGAGAAAGCCACGCGCCGGCGCAATCACACCCAGGGAGTCCGCATGCAGCCCGTGGGAAACCACTTGCCAGTAGGTCGTCCCAGGTACTTTTTAAATGCACATCTTCGGCGGGATGCCACAGGTTTGCCATGGGTGCACTACGCCTCCCAGATGTTCCGGTCTGATCGTGCCCGGAAATCCACGGGACTATTGTGCCTTCAGCGCAGCAAATGCTCCATGTGAATGGGGCCATGATATATGTCTTCTTTCCTCTATCCCAACAGCACAATTTTGTAATGCATTGATACAAGACATGGAATCAAATACTATCACCAAAATTGCTTGGAATGCTGTGAAACCACTTCTGATGGGGAAAATCCTGTATGCTCCTGATTCGCCAGCTGTACGGGAGATACTGATAAATGTAAGAGAGATTCTCTCTTTTTCCAGCAACCTATACATAATACATTTTAACTAAGCACTCTACAAGGGTGATCCCCTGAACAACAAGCAATTGCTTACCAAGGTTTCTTTCCATTTCTTTGACTTGGTGGTCGCCATAAAAAAAGGCACAGGATCCAAAGTTGCTAAGTACTCCGGAGGAGAGGGAGAAGGGCGATCCAGTAATTTGTCAGGTTATTGCTGCCTTAAATACAGATTTTTTATTTATTTATTTATTCATACCCCACCTTTCTCCCCAGTGGGGACTCAAAGCAGCTTACATCATTTTCCTATCCTCCAGTTTATCCTCACAACACCCCTGTGAGGTAGGTTAGGCTGAAAGAGTATTACAGTTTTAAAAAGTAATTTCAGCTAATACATCATAGGTATAGTCTCCTATACGGAAAGGAGATTGTAAGTGGCTCTGAGACACCTCTGAGCAGTGAAGGGAGGGGTATAAATCCAATTTCCTCCTCCTCCTCCTCCTCGTTCTGATTTCCCAGTCTGAAATAGTCAAGTTCACAAGAAGTAGAGCTGAAGCAAACTTCAATCCACTTCCTTATTTACTTATTCGTTTTCATTTATATGATACATTTTAACATGCCAGAGGGTTCTCACAGTTACACTGAAATAACACAGCAGCATTCTGTCATTGTATTGCTTTTCTAGCAAAATGCTATGCCATCCTCATAGCCTTAACTAACTTTACCTCCTTCAGTCTGTAGTTTTTATCTATGGATCCCTTGTGTATTTCTGCTAAGGGAGAAATGTTTTGCTGTGTGGGATAGCTCTACAGAATTTGAAAGCCTCATTTTGTTTTTCTTCCCTCCAGATTTTTTTTAACTAATCAGGGCCCTAATAAAACCTAGTTTTACAATGTTGTGTTACATTAATCTTTACATATATTATTGGCAACCTGGCAAATGTAGCCAGAAAGTTTAATTGATCAGTGTGCCAGATGTGAGAATTGTTGCTTGTAGCAGAATTCCAGAGTAGCCTCCATTTGTGGAATCTTGATTTTTTTGCTGTATGACAATAATAATAATGATATTTATAACATATGCACATGCTCTTCACAACATGCACAAGCTCTTCCTGCCTCTTTCTCTTTCAACTTCTTATTGTCCCAGGCAAATTCCACATTTGAAGAACTTGAGCGCCTGAGACTGATCACTAAAGCCTGGAAAGAAGTGGGACCTCAGGTGTGGAACTTCTTTCATGGCAGTGTGCAAATGAACATGATTCGGGTATGTAGAAATGGGAAGTCAACAGTCAAGGATGAATGAAAATTCAATATTTGAATAAGAATAAACCTGAAGATTCTCAAGAACATAAAAAGTACCTTGGTAGATCAGATGAAGCACCCATCTTATGTTCTTATGTCCAACACTCTATTTCCAACCAGTCCAATCTAGTCCAGTACTCTATTTCCAGCTAGGGGGGCAGCAGGAAACATCTGGAAACACAAAGCTCAGCAACAGCTTATCTTCTCTTAGGTAGTTTAATTTAAACCAGCTTTTTGAGCTTTGCTTTTCAAAGTTAGCTGCCAGGATTGCTTCATCAAAAAGGAGAACATGAGAGGGAGGCAAAGAAGAGGAGCTGCAATCCTTTCCTCTCATGCCATTTTCTTGCTGGAAAAGCCTCCACTGCACCCCACTGCTTTTATTAGGTACCTTAATACAGCAATCCTTGAGGTTGTGCAGGAAAGGTGGGATATAAATTGAAATAAAGAAATAAATGTTGTTTCAAATAAACACAGAAGAAATCATAATCTTCTGTAATTCGCCTTGAGTCAAAGTGAGAGAGGTACATTACACATTAAATAAATAAATAAAGGAAGGGTTGAGAACATTACATTTGTCAGATAACTTTTAAGTCAGGGTGCATTCAGCTATTTCCCACCTGGACTGAAACAATATTATTTTAAAACATGTGAAATTAGACCTGGTGTGTTTTTTTTAAACCATAGGACACTGTGCAGAATCCTACAGTAAAAGGTTTCTTAAATGAGCAGCTGGGTTCTGAAGGTCTGACTGCAGAAGATGTGATCAGTTTTCTGCACAATGGACCACCAGAGAGAGGAAGGGGAGGCACGGTGAATTTTGATTGGAGGAATGTCTTTAATGTCATCAACCGAACTCTCACTACAATTTACCAGTACCTGGAGGTGAGTGGGACTTTCCCAGTTTGTGGGCATTTCCATTTCTATTGGCCTCACAGTCATGTCTGTGTTTTAACACAAGCGCTTCTCCCTAACAAACACAGGGGAAAGTCTACACTATGTTTGGAAGGTCTCCTTCCTACATGGAAGCAGCAAGTTGCAAACCAGTGGCACAGCTATTACCTGGTTGGACAATTTGCACATATTAAGTAGTCGATCTGTTGTGTGGGAGCAGCTCTTGCATGGCCACAGGTGCTTCTTTTGGATTTGCATAAAGACTGACTTCTCATCAGCACATAAGCCTCATCAGCACATAAGCACATAAGCTTCCTAGAAGAAGATAATTATACATTTTAAATAATTCTGTTTGTTTATATACAACTGATACAGATCAATGATTTATTTACACATGTATTTACTCACAAGAAGATAATACTATTGATTTGTAAAACATTGCAAATAAATTAATGAGGGGCATGTTAATGAGACACAGAGCAATTGATCAAAAAGGAAGCTTCCAAATGTTAGGCTGTGAGAAATAAATGGATTAATTAACGGCTTCTATGAACCCAAACAGAGGAGGGTCTTTGTTGTATCTGTGCATGATTTTTTTTTTGGGTCTTTCTTAGATCCAGGTGGTCAGCCATGTTGATCAGAAGCAATAGAACAAAGTTTGAGTCCAGTAACAAAGTTTAATCGTGGGTATAAACTTTTGTGTGCATGCACACAAAAGTTTATATCTAGAATTAAACTTTGTTGGTCTTTAAGGTGCCACTGGACTCAAACTTTTATCTCTTTGTCATTAGCTTTATCCAAGTGTCAGTAATTCTCCTGCATCGTTACATTGGATATGAATGGATCATTCAGTTATTATTAATACAAAAATCTGCAACTTATTTTTAAGTCATGACTTTAAATGGCTTCAAATCTGAGCATCCTCAAGAAAGTACCTTGCAGGATCATATAAAAGACCCAACAAGTCTAATACCCTGTTTTCAAACGGCGCCAGCAAGAGACCTCTGAAAACACAGAGGGTTGCCAACTCCGGGCTGGGAAATTCCTGGAGATTTTGGGGCTCAGCCGAGGGAGGACAGGGTTTGGGGAGGAAAGAGAGCTCAACAGGATATAGTACCATAGAGTGCACCCTCCAAAGCAGCCATTTTTTCCCGGTGGAACTGATCTAAATTGTTTGGAAATTAGCTTTAATTTTGGAAGATTTCCAGACCACACCTGGAGGTTGGCAACCTTGTGGAGGATATGGCCGTCAGTGGCTACTAGCCACGATGAATTAAAGGAACCTCCATATACAGACACTTCACGCCTCTGAAATTAGGATTGCCAGCTCTGGGTTGGGAAATTCCTGGAGATTTGGGGGGTAGAGCCTGGGGAGGGACAGGTATAGAGAGGGGGGAGGGACTTCAGTGCAGTACAGCATCATTATACTTCAGAGGGGTATAGTAAAAATGTCATAAAATCCACACAATTTGCCGTATAAGGCTCAGTGCTGATACATCAAAATTTATCAGATACCACTAAATGTTTGGTGCTTTGGTAGTGTAAGGACAGAGTATCAACAAAGTTTATGAGCCTTGCACTTACTACTCCAAAGGTGGCTTATTTGCTGGCAACCCTGTGAAAAAAAATAGCCCCCCAAAGATGAGTGTTCTAGTTCCCAAGGGGGGTGGTGAGGGTTTGTCCCTCTCAGACATGGATTGCACATAATCTTTGCCCCTGGCAGCTGTGTGAAGGCCCCTGATGGAAGATATGGGAAGGGTAATTTCCCCCTTCTTTCCCCTCTTCAGCACAGCCCACCAATGTACACAGCTATAATTCCATGTTGGTTCCTCAGCCCTGGAAATGAATTTTCCCAGGGTTGGACAGGACTGTTAGTGGGAGAGGAAAGCAGGGAAGATCACCAACTGTCACTGTCTAGAGCATCTGATAAATCACTGGATCCAGCCCAGTCTGCTTACGAGTGGTATGAAATATCTTTTTTCCCATCCCCTTTTTTAGACATTCATCCAACATGATGAAGAGTTTCGGAGAACTCAAATGTTTGCACACTGTACTTTGGTCGATCATAGTCAAAAGTATTACATGACAATTATCTGGGGATTATACTTTGGACCAATACAACTACCTGCTGTCTTGGCTGCTGTGTTGGTGGTCTCAGGGGTGTTATTATTATCTTATCCATTGCCTGTGAGAACCATGTATTTATTATTGCGCCTCAGTTAATCTCTAAGTTAAAAAAACGCCAGGGCACTTTAATATTCTTTATGTAGCACTTCATCCTTTTTCCTTGGGCTGCTGCGAATGTACATATTAGGAAGCAGTCCCATCGGATTCACTAGGACTAATTTTAGGGACATCATGTTTAGAGCTGGGCTTTTGGTGTTAAAAGTCATTTCAAACTCCCATGCTGGTTATCCACATTTACACAATTTAAATAAGCAGGGCAAGTGGACTACCTCTGACAGTTGCTTGCAGGGGTTCCCCTCCTTTTCTTCAGTTCCCCTTGATTTTGTTTGTTTGCTTTCAGATTATTCCACAGATAAATTGCTTTTTGTATTTTTTTATTTTGCTTCTGGGGGGAGGAAGCTGGGGTGGAGTAAAGGAGCCTTTTAACCATTTTCACCCGTGCTATTTTCATACTACAAATTGCCATACCAGATACCATTCTTAATAAGAACTGAGGTACAGCAGGGGGGTCAGGTTCCCTCAGCCCACCGGCAGGGGATGGGGAGGGGAGGGCTGCCAAATCCAGGCTGGGAAATCCCTGGAGATTTGGGGGTGGAGCCTGGGGAGGACACAGACCTCAGTGGAGTCCAGTGCCCACAGAGTCCACCCTCCAAATCATCCATTTCCTTCAGGGAAACTGATATCTGGAGATGAGCGATAATTCCAGGGGATTTCCAAGTCCCACCTGGAAGCTGGCATCTGTAGTACAGTACTGTGTGCAATGTGTTGTTCTTTCCAACCAAGTAAGAGTAAATTTAAATTTCATTTGGGGAATATTCTGCTAATAGGTTTTACCTGGGGTATTTTTGAAGTTGTAGCTTTTTACTGCTGGCAACAGTATGAATTTTAAAGGTGTAATTAAAGTAGCTCCAAATCCTATTTCAGAGACTTTTCATCTGGTCATTGATTATGCTCGGGTTTTCACTGTGGGGGTCTTAGCTGAGCAAAAGACATGATGTGAAGGTGAATTCTTTGGGTGGGACAGGATGTCTAAAACAACGGACTGATTATTTCTCCTGGGGTTTTAAGGAGTGGTCTTGGCAGGCATTAATTATAGGCCTATGTCTTTCTGACTGATGGCTAAGGGAAGGGCAGACTCTACACGAATACATGAATAATGGTGGAAGGAAACTCAGTGCAAGCAGTTGCTTGCTAACTTCTGTTTTTATGTGGTAAATCTGAAAGATCAACAGTTGTATGTGAGTGTTTTAATCTGTTTTGCTGGATTTGTACGAAGCTGTAGTCTGGACTGGAAGTTTGCACGGTGGGAGGGAGGGATACATGTCTTCCCTTGAATGGTTAGATTTGAGTCCAGTAGCACTTTGGAGACCAACAAGAGTTTCAGGGTATAAGCTTTCAGGGGTCAGTGCTCCTGTGTCTGACAAAGGGAGCTTTGACTCTCAAAAGCTTCTTCCCTGAAACTCTTGTTGAACTCTAAGGCGCTACTGGACTCAAATATAACTGTTTTACTCCAAACCAATATGGCTACCCTCTGAAATTATTTCCTTGAATGGTTAATGCCTATAAAAAGTGTCCCCTCCAAACTGCTTTCCATCCGGGGGGGGGGAGAGGAACAAATATCTCCATACCTCTTCCCCATCCAGAGGGGGGGAGCTGGT